CGCTTTATCATTGACTGTCCCGATTTAATCAGTTTTACAAAGGAAGTAACTCAACACAGGCGTCGGTGGTATAGTGGTGAGCATAGCTGCCTTCCAAGCAGTTGACCCGGGTTCGATTCCCGGCCGACGCATTGATTTTTGTGGTCAACCCTTTTTACTTTCCATTTCACTCAACGGACAAAAATTAGCAAGTAGTGAATACAGGGTGTCCCAAAAGTTCGTTACTCTGCTGTATAAGCCTGTAATCCAGTGTGATTGGACTTGATAAGCAAACCGTTTAAATAAAAGTCTGGTGTTTTTAATCTAATTTAATGTGTCATACTTGTTGTGCCATCTTTCGACTCGAAGTTTTGATTTGTGTACTTTCGCGCCAAAGGTGTGTGTGCGCTAGTATATTTCCCTCCACAAATTTTTGCATCTTGTAGCCCAAATTGCTCGAGCGCCTTCCTCCTTTTTTGTGAATATCATAAAAGATGAAGTAAAAATGCTCAGCTAGGTGAAAGCATAACCAGGTATACTTCGATCTACTGCTTTGTCAGATAAAGAAATTGCAAAGACCAGGAAAAATCCGAATCTAAAAAATTGGGGGTGGTAAAATGGTCATCGAGAAATGAAGGTTTTGAAGACAAGAAAAAAAAAAGAGGAAAAACGAAAGTCATGAATAAAGCAGCTAAAGCTAATTTTAAACAAGGCTAGGTACAACAGAGGAACTCATCAAGATAGTTCTTACAACAGTTATCAAGGAGCAGGTTCATGAAAAGAAAGCGAAGGTTGGAAGTCCCTAAGTTTGCAAAAAACCCAGCAATGCACAGTTCGTCAAGCAACGTTAACGCTCAGCTCTTCTCAAATTTGTAAAGAAACCTTAGTGTAAAAAGGCTTTTTTGGATGAATGCCTCCCAGATTTTTTTACAGCCACCTAATTTAAAAAATGATAGTTTTTTTTTTTTGGGGGAATGGCTCCTGCGCACCACTGACGTGATAAGAAAAGCTCAAAATGGATCATCTGGACCTCTACTGACGCTACATGGCTTTTCTTACATCATGCCGCAACGTCTTAACGAAATGTGATAAAACAGAAACAAAGAAGGCATGCTGGTTACTGAACTTCTGAATACAAGTAATCTAGAGAGCAATTAAAGCATCTTTTAAAAATTTCATGCAAAAATAAAGTTTCGATCAAAAGTTACAGCACAACAAATTACAGGGACGAACATTTGGGACACCCTGTAATATTTACAAGTGGAGAATCAGCTAAGGAGAAATGCTTTCAGTCTAGAGTTAAAAAGGGAGAAAGTCGCAGCACTTTAAATATTGCGATTTAGTGAATTGAAACTGAACGTTTGGACCCTGTCTTATATTTCTTCTTGCAGGAAATTTAAGTAGAAAGTATTGGAATTAAGGAACAATTTTATTTGCCATAAAAATAAATAAAATTTCCAAGTTGAAACAAATACCTATCATGGAACTTCAATATTTGTAAATATCCTTTTTACTCCTAATATAGGATCAGTGTGAGCATCAAATGGTTTCTAAGAAATAATGCGAATAGATTTTTTTGGAGTATAACAATACGTTTCATGTATATGGGATGAGTAGATGCAAGAGGGAATGATCTAGCTCATTCTCTCTTAGTCGATGCCCATACTGAAACACAATATACAAGATAAAGATAAACCAAGGCACAGTAAAGAGTACGTAAAGATTTATCAGGAAGACAAAAGCTTGACCTATATATTATTCCAATTGATTTAGAAATTTACCTTGTAAAATTAGCGATATGATGTTACTATTTGAGGTTCTCATCAAGGATCACTCCCAACAATATGGTATCCGTTACTCACTCAATGGCACAATTACTTAGTTGTAGCTTAATAACAAGGTTTTTTCCTTTTCTCCTGGGATTGAAAACCATATATTTGGATTCTGAATAATTTATTGATAATTATTGACCTGCCACCAAGATGTCAGTTTCAAAGGTTCCTCATCCGAGCTTTTTTCAAGCAAGATTACCTTATTATAAGAAAAGAATATGTTAGTATCATCAGCATATAAAAAAAATTCAATCTAAAATCCTTGCGACATCACAGAAAAAGCCAAGGCCCCAAGATCGAGCATTAAGGAAATCCCCACTTTATAATATCTAGAGAAGAGGAAGTGTCGTTGACTAGAGGAAATTTATGCCTGTTACTCATTTTTGTCAAGTTTTCATTCGATACTTTGTACGAAATCTTTATAAAAATCGGTACATCCCGATCTCAGATCTCAATCTGCTATAAAGAAGTCGGTAGCGATAAGACGTTCAATTTGGTAATTTTCTTTAACGCTAAATGATTGAGTTCCCATGGTGTAATGGTTAGCACTCTGGACTCTGAATCCAGCGACCCGAGTTCAAATCTCGGTGGGACCTAAATAACAACTTTTAGGATACTTTTAAAACCACTATTTTTTATGCTATTTTGTAAACTTCATGTTCTGTCTAAATTGACAGAATAACTGACCTCGGAACGGACGGGAAAATTGTAAGGTGTAACCTGCAGCCTCTGAACTCTTTGAATATAAAAAAAGGGCAAAGAGTTTTCCTAAAAATTGTTAGTAGTATGCGAATGACGTTGATGGTTGAGTCCTGGGTAGTGAGATAAAATCATTCTTTGTCGTTGTATAACGCGCGGAGAGGAAGAGAAGAGGAGAGCTCATATAGCATTGGGTGTTGCCTGCGTAGCAAGCGTTTCCGTGTGGTTTCGGAGCAAAGAAAGACCGAACAACGACAAAGAACGGGATTTTAGGTCTTTCCCGCGCGAAAAATGGAACGAGAGCTAAAATTTGACTCACATTCCTTGTTGTTTGCTCCGAAACCGCACGGAAACGCTTTCTACGCAGGCTACATTGGGCAGAAACCTCTTATTTGTTTCCTCCAAAAGCAATAAAGGCGGATGGCGCAGTAATGATCGGAGAAGATGTCTGAATGTACGTGCTTGATCCTGACGCCAAAACCCCGAATGATCTGATGTGACGTGAATATTATAACCCCGTTTCTCCGTGGTTAGCGGTCTGGAAGAAGATCATTTCCAAGTCTTTTTCACCACTTTCATTTTTTTGTCAGCAATGTTAGATTGTTAAAATATTTTAATGATTAAATGATTCACGGTGGTAGATTGGAGACTAGCTCGTGGAAGGGTATATCACAAGAATGATCAACGAAGCCAAACAACGATTGACAGACAACACAGTCAGCCCTAAAAATGTCAGAGAGGAGTTGAAGCCTTACAATAGAAAGCGCATAAGGTGACAGCCCTTGACAAAACTGTCTGGATCCGTCCGCCCGAGTTCCGATTATCTAGCTATTCTTTAGAAACGAAGGCAAAAGTGATGTTCAGCAGTTTGTTTAACCAAACAGAAACGGTAGACTTTGGCTAACTTAAGTCAATTGTATCCATCGTGTTGAGATTTTTGGCGTCGCTTTATCGCTGACTGTCCCGATTTAATCAGTTTTACAAAGGAAGTAACTCAACACAGGCGTCGGTGGTATAGTGGTGAGCATAGCTGCCTTTCAAGCAGTTGTCCCGGGTTCGATTCCCGGCCGACGCATTCAGGATTTTTGTGGTCTTCCCTTTTTACTTTCTTGTTCACTCAAAGGACAAAAAGTAGCAAGTAATGAATAATATTTACAAGTGGAGAATCAGCTAAGCATAAATGCTTTCAATCTACAGTTAAAAAGGGAGAAAGTCGCAGCACTTTGTATATTGCGATTTAGTGAATTGAAAACCTTTGGACGCTGTCTCATGTTTGCTCGTACAGGAAATTTAAGTAGAAAGTATTGGAATTAAGGAATAATTTTATTTGCCATAAAAATAGATAAAATTTCCAACTTGAAACAAATACCTATCATGGAACTTCAATATTTGCAAATATCGTTATTACTCCTAATATAGGATCAGTGTGTGCATCAAATGGTTTCTTGCAAAAAATTCGACTAGATTTTTTCTGAAGTATAACAATACGTTTCACGTTTGTGGGATGAGTCGATGCCATACTGAAACACAATATAAGACAAACTAAGGTATAGTAAAGAGTACGTAAAGAAGTATCAGGAAGACAAAAGCTTGACTTATATATTATTCCCATTGATTTAGAAATTTTCCTTGCATCATTAGCGTATTGGTGCTTCCATGTGAGGTTCTCATCAACGATCACTTACAAAAATACGGTATCCTTTACTCGCTCAAAGGCACAATTACTTATTTCTAGCTTAATATCAAGGTTTTACCTTTGTCTTCCTGGGATTGAAAACCATAGATTTGAATTGTGAATAATTTATTGATAACTTATTGACCTGGCACCAAGATGTCAGTTTCAAAGGTTCCTCATCCGAGCTCTTTTCAAGCAAGATTACCTCATTATGAGAAAAAAATATGTTAGCATCATCAGAAAATAAAAAAAATTCAATCTAAAATCCCTTGAGACATCACAGAAAAAGGCAAGGCCCCAAGATGGAGCATTAAGGAACACCCCACTTTATAATATGAAGAGAATTGGAGGTGTCATTGACTAGAAGAAATTTATGCGTGTTACTCATTTTTGTCAAGTTTTCATTCGATGTTTTGTACGAAATCTTTATAAAGATCGGTAGATCCCGATCTCAGATCTCAATCTGCTATAAAGAAGCCGGTAGCAATAAGACGTTCAACTTGGTAATTTTCTTTACGTTCTAATTCGCTTCGCTCAAGCGAACGTAAATTATTTACCGCTTAAATAACCGCAAACACCAGGGGAAATCAGATATGGGTGGATCGCGTGCGAACCCTAACACTTTAATGAAAAGTAATCTTACAGCATTGGTAAAGGAAAAACAGATAACATATTTAAATATGAGTTAAATACCGAAATGTTTCGTCACACTTAAACGATTACATTCTGTCTCTAAAACGTACATGTCTTGTGCTTCGTCTGTTTTCCACCGCCCATGAAGTTTTAACAACCTCTCAGAAACGGCTTTGGAAGCGTTATATACTGATAACTGCTGAAGCACCCCCTGAACGCAGACTATGTAGGCCATATTCCTTGGGGTCATAGCCCAAATCTTTCAAAGTAGTCTTAAATATTTCCCTGCAGCGAGTATAGGATAACTTGCCATTCCTAAGGGTATATCCCGACTTGTTCTTCGTTAATGGCCTGAATAAAGGCAAGTGACTAGACAGATCCAAATTGGCTGTTTCAATATACCTACGTAAGATAGCTACTGGGCAGTATTTGTTCTCTAACTTAGCAATATAAACATAATTGCCCTCTCTATATACATCCGTTTTACTCCTTGGCACAAAAATTTTAACAAAACCATCGCAAAACGTGAGGTGTTTTGGCTGAATATTAGCCAACTCGTTAAAACGAAAAAATCCTGCAAAACCTAAAGAACTTATTGCGCCATGTCTGTCAATAATGCTTCTAATGATAGCAGGGTCCACGGGTTTTTTCTTGTGAACTGGATTGCTCCTTGTCCTCTTGGCGCACTCAATCCAAGTTCTTGCAACAAGCGTTATCCAAAGGATTGGGACCATCATCAGGAGCAAAGGAATGGAACCATTTCAGCGCAGCATGGACCAAAACCATTGCGGCCGGGGACCTAAGCTGTTGGTCTAATCCAAATAGATAAAGGGCGACAACAGAAGAAGAAAATGGCAACTGTAGCGCAATTTTCCGAGTCCTACACCACAGTAAAAACTTGTTTATTTCCTTAAGATATTTCTTCGCAGTAGAGTCCGCTCTAGAACAAAGTAAACTACTAAATAAAGAATGAAAATCCGGCCTAATAGCAGGAGGGAGCACCATCCATGCCTTACTTGCAACTACGACCTGCAAGAAAAAATTATATCACCAAAACTTTGCAACAACGGGATAGCGGCTTTGGGAAATGAAACACAAGCGATGATAGCGATTCTAATAAAAGGCCCCATGCCTATGACGCAATGTCCGCAGGCAGCATAATAGAAAGAAACCACAGCGACCTCCCTGGGGCAAAATAGGCATGCAAAGTAGCTCCTAAACAAAGCCATAGCGAAAAACCTACAAAGAAAACTAATAACAAACGCGTAAAAACTGCATATATATCCTAAACGCGAATTGCTCTAGCAGATCATTTAAATCCCCCAAAAAGGCCCCATAAACGACAGGCAAACGAATATAAAATAGGCAACACCCTATCTGGGACACAGTCACCTCGAACACTTAAATAACCTAACAATCGGAAAAAACAAAAAGTTACAGCCTTGATAAGAAAGGTAAGTAACCTAAACCAACAAGAATAACGCAGCTCAACCTTGTGAAAAAAGCTTGGCCAGAATAGCAGGTTGAGTTACGATTCGCAAACCAGTGTCAAAAAAAAAGGGACACAATTTT